AAGTATTTGTAAAAAAGACAGAGAGAGGCGACAGCACGTCTGTGAGAGAGCGACTGTAGACGAGATGCCAGATCAGTGCCGATTGCATTGCATATCCGTCTCTGGATCTTACCAAGAACCCCGAGGCAAACAGAAGGGGCTCCAGGCCATATGTGGCAGCAATACTCCATGCAAGGGCGAATTGTTGATTTGTAGATTTGAAGGATCGATTCCGGGGAGAAAATTTTCCTGGCGCGGCACAGGGAGCCAACTTTCCTTGCGGTGGACGAAACAATTGATTCAATATATTTGTTCCATCTCAGGTCAGCAGACAATGTGAGACAGAGCAGTCGCAAAGAGGTGCTCTCGTGGAGTTGAGCGTCAGACATTCTAATAGAGGGCAGGGAAGGATCTCTGTGGTGATTAATAGAGAGCGGTTTTGTTTTTGAAGCGTTAAAGTTAACCAGCCAATTCCTTCCCCAGTTGACAACCGATTAGAGGTCCATTTCATTTCGAACTTTAGGCCAGTTAAACTTATTTCCTAGATATTTTTTTTGATCAGGAGGAGTAAAATAAAAAAAGTTCGCATAGATGCTTTCCAATTATTCTATATATATATATATATATATATATATATATATATATATATATATATATATGTTTTTGCGTGAGCGAAAACGTACGATGGTGAACTTATAGAACTTATAAAACTAGACACGCTTCAAAATAATATGCGTCCGTTTTGTTTAATGTCCGCATTAACAAATAAAATATTTCGAAATTTTTTAATCGAAGTACTTTATGTCAAATTCCATAAATGCGTTTCGTCTTTCTTTATAATAAACAAAAAAAAATTGTTTTGTTTAAGTTTTTTTTTAAAGCGATCGCCACTATTTTCTGAACAATATATACATCTGTCATATTAATCGTAACAAAATCAAATTTTTCAAAGAAAAAAAATCCCGCTGACATGTATTTTTGACAGCTTGATGGTGGTCTTATCGAAAAGTACCATCTTGAAAGGGAGGAAAGAAAAAAAAAAAAAAAAAAGAAGGAAAATTTAAGGATTTTTTCTTTGAAAATATAAAAAATTCTTAAACAAAAAAAAAAATTTTTTATTAAGTCGGAGAGGAAAAACTAAAAAAAATTTAGAAAATTTTTTTTTTTTTTCAAAAAAAAAAAAAAAAGAAGAAATAAGAAGAAGAAAAAGAAAAAAATCTCTTATCATTTCCTGAAATTAAATCACATCTCTAAAAAAAATCAGTACGCAAATGGGGGATCGATTGGAAAAATCATGGACTGTAAGTTTGGATGTATAACTGGTTCAAAAAAAGAAGAATTTTTAGAAGAAGAAGAAGAAGAAATAAGATATACATATTCAGAAACAATTTGAAGAAGAAATAATAGAGAGAAAAGAAGAAATAAAAAATATTTATTTAATAAAAAATATTTTCCAAAAAGAAAATTTAATTAAAACAAAAAAAATTGATTTAATTTTTAAAATAAATAAAGAAATTTTTTTTTTTAAAAAAGAAAAAAAAAGAAACAATAAGAAGAAAAAAAAGAATAAAAAAAAAAGGAAAAAAAAAATCCAAGAAATTCTATAAAAAGAAAAAAGACAGGAAGAAAGAAAGGTAAAGGAGAAAGAAAGAAAAGAAAAGAAAATTTTCTAAAAAGTATTTCTATTTAAAGAATGAAAATTAGGTTCAAAAAACTTAGAAAGAAAGGAAAAAAAAAGAAAGAAATGCAAAAAAAAAATAAAAGGGAGGAAATTTAAAGGCAACAAGAAATTAATTATAGGAAGAAAGAAAGGTTGAAGAAAGAAAGGTGTTTTCTTTTCAGAAAGGTAAAAGAAAAAAAATAAAGAAGAAAGAAAGGTTTTTTGGTATAAAAAAAAAAAGGTTATTCATTTTTAAGAAAAAAAATAAAAGAAAAAAAAAAAACAGGAAGAAATTTCCGGAAGAAAGAAAATTTTAAAAATTTTAAAAGAAAGAAAAAAATTAAAAAGAAATAACCCTATAAAGAAATTTAGATAATTTTTTTAAAAAAAGGAAAAAAAAAAATTAAAAATATAAAAAAAATAAAACAAATTTCTTGATTAAAAAAAATAAATCATAAGAAAGATATTTAAAGAAAGAAATAAAGAAAAAAGAAATTTAAAGAAAGAAAAAAAATTTTTTTTAAAGAAAGAAAAGGTGAAGAAAGAAAGAAAGACAAATTTTTAATTTTTTTCGGAAAAAAATGATAAAAACAAATTTATGAAATACCAATTTAAATTTTTACCTGAAAAAATTTTTATTTTGATCCAAGGCAAGAAAAAAAAGGCAAGAAGAAAGAAAAATAAAATAAAAAGAAATGTAATTGAAGTAAAAAAGAAGAAAGAAAGGTAAAAATAAAATAAAAGAAAAAATAAAGAAAATTTTAAAAAAGAAAGAAAGTTTAATTCAAAATAAAAATTAAACAAAGAAGAAAAAAAAAAGAAAAAGAAAATTTTTTAAAATTTATAAATATGAATGTTATATAAAAAAATTGATTTCCCTGATTATATATAGTTTTCCAAAATCAAAAAACAAAACAAAAATAAAAGGTAGATGAAAAAAAAAAAATTTAAATTTAGTTTTCAAGTTGTTTTGTCAAGAAAAAGGATTCCTAAAGAAAAAAAGGAAGAAAGAAAGGATTTTAAAAAAAAAAATCAAATAAAAAAAAAAGTGTTAGAAAAAAAAGGTAGGAATTCTTCATTAAAAAAAAAGAAATAAAAAAAATAAGAAAGAAAGAAAAAAAAAAAAAAAGGAGGTAAGAAAGAAAGGAAAAAAAAAATTAAGAAGAAAAAATTTAGAAAAAAAAAAAAAAAAGAAAAAAAAGAAAAAGAAAGAAAGAAAAAATATTTTAAAGAATCTCATAGAAGAAAAAAATGTAAGTATGAAAAAATTTATTGAAGAAAAGAAAGACAAAGAAAAAAGAAAGGCAAAAGAAAGAAAAGGAAGAAAAAAAGACAGGAAGAAACAAAGTTAGGAAGAAATTAAAGAAAGGTTTTTTTTTTTAAAAAAAATTTTTAAAAAAGGTAGGAATAAAGAAATGAAATAAATAAGAATTGAAGAAATGTTTAAAAAAAAAGGGGGAAGAAAAATGAAGGCAGAAAAAAAAAATAAAGACAGGAATAAAAAAAAATAGAAGAAAAAAAACAATTGGAAAAATAAATGCAATTCAAAAAAAATAAATTATATCAAGGAAATTTTTTCAAAAATCAAAAAAAAAGAAAGAAAGAAAGGAAGAAAATTAGGAAGAAAGAAAAAAGAAATATAAGAAAAAAAAAAAAAAGAAAAAATGGATTGAAAAAGAAAAAGCAAGTGTAAATTAAAAAAAATTTAGAAATTAAAATATGAGAAGAAAAAAAATGGTAGAAAGAAAAAAATGAATAAAGAAAGGAAGGCAAAAAAAAAAAAAAAAGTAAATTTTTTTAGAAATGTTAGGAAAAAAAGAAAAGCAAGTGTAAAAAAAGGAAGGTTAAAAAAAAAAAAAAATGTTTAAAAAAAAATATTTTTAAAATTTACAATGAAAAAAGAAAGATAAAAGAAAATTATGCAGGAAAAAAAAAATTTTTTCAAGGAAAAAAAAGAAAGAAATTTATGAAAATAAGAAAAGAAAAAAAAAAAGAAAAATCGGAAAAAAAAGGGAGAAAGAAACAAAAAAATAAAAAAAAGAAAAAATGAAAGAAAGAAAGAAAAAAAAAAAAAAAGAAGAAAAAAAGTGAGGAAAAAATTGGATAGAGAAAGAAAGAAAGAAATGAAATCAAAAAAAAATAAAGAAGAAATAAAAATGCTTCGAAAGAAAAGAAAAGGCAAAAAAAAGAAAAAGAAAAGAAAATAAAAAAGGAAAAAGAAAGAAAAATGAAAAAAATTTTTAAGAAAAAGAAAAAAAAAAAAAAAAAAAGAAATGAAGAAAAAAAAAATAAGAATTTATGGATTTAAAAGAAAAATTAAAAAAGAAAGAAAAAAAGAAAAAAAGAAAAGGTTGAAATTTAAAAAAAAAAGAAATGAAAAAAAGAAAGAAAGGAAAGAAAGAAAGAAAAAAAAAAAAAAAAAAGGAAAAAAGAAAGAAAGAAAGGAAAAAGAAAGGGAAAAAAAGAAAATTTTGAAAGAAAAAGAAAAAAAAGAAAAAAATAAAAAAAAAAAAAAAAAAATAAAATTTAAAGAAAAAAAAAAAAAAGGAAGAAAAAAAAAAAAGAAAAAAAGAAAGAAAGGCAAAAAAAAAAAAAGAAAGAAAAAAAAAAAAAAATTCGAAAGAAAAAGAAAAAAGAAAGAAAAGAAAGAAAAAAGAAAGAAAATGAAATGAAAAAAAGAAAAAAAGAAAGATTGATTAAAAATTTTAAATAAAAGAAAAAAGGTAAGAAAGAAAGAAAGAAAAAGAAAAAAGAAAGAAAAATAAAAAAAAGAAAAATGAAAGAAAAAGAAAGAAAGGAAAAAAAAAAAAAAAAAAAAAAAATGAAAAAGAAAAAAAAAAAAAGAAATATAAAGAAAAAAGTAAAAAAAAAAGGATTAAAAAGAAAGAAAGATGAAAAAAAAAAAAAGAAAAAAAAAAGAAAAAAGAAAAAAAAAAAAATAAAAAAAAGAAAGAATGTATCTGAAAAAAAAAAGGGAAGAAAGAAGAAAAAAAAAATGTTTAAAAAAAAAGAAAAAAAAAAATAAAAAAAGAAAGAAAAAAAGAAAAGAAAAAAAAAAAAAATGTGAAAAGAAAAAAAAAAAGGGAAAAAAAAAAAAAAAAGAAAGAAAGGTTAGGAAGAAAAGAAAGGAAAGAAGAAAGAAAAATTCCAAAGAAAAAAAAAGAAAAGAAAGAAATGTAAACAATTCAAAAAAAATTTTTTTATGAAAAAAAATTTTTTTTTGGGAAAGAAAAGAAAAAAAAGAAAGAAAAAGAAAAAAAAAAGAAAAAAAAATAAAAGAAAAAAAATTTAGGAAAAAGAAAAAATAAATAAAAAAAAAAAATGTGAAGAAAGAAAAAGAAACAAAAGAAATAAAAAGAAATTAAAAAAAGAAAAAATAAAGATAAAAGAAGAAAAAAAAAAAAAAAATGGTAAGAAAAAAAGAAAGGCAAAAGAATTTTAAAAAAAGAAAAAGAAATGCAGAATGTTTGAAAATGTAGTCAAAAAGAAAAAAAAAAGGATAAAGGAAAAATAAATTTTGAAAGAAAGAAAGTAATTCTTTTTTTTTTTTTTGAAAAAAAAAAGAAGAAAGAAATTTAAAAGAAAAAAAAATTTGAAAAAAAGAAAGATTTTGAAGAGAAAGGAAGAAAGAAAAAATAAGAAAAATGAAAGAAAATAAAATGAGAAAGAAAAAAGAAAAAATAAAAAGAAAGAAAATAAAAAAAAAAGATTTTAAGAAAAAAGAAAACAAATTGAAAAAAAAAGGCAAGAAGAGAAAATAAATGCAAAGAAAGGCAAGAAGAAAGAAAGGTAGGAAGAAAGAAATATAGGAAGAAAGAAAGATAGAAAGTAAGAAAGGTAGGAAGAAAGAAAGGTAGGAAGAAAGAAAGATAGAAAGTAAGAAAGGTAGGAAGAAAGAAAGGTAGGAAGAAAGGAGGGCAAGAAGAAAGAAAGACAGGTAGAAAGAAAGAAAGAAAAGATTAGGTAGGGAAGGAGAGACAGGGAAGACTGAGGAATAAGAAATAAAATATCGAAACGAAAAAAAAAAGAAGCGGCCAAGTAGAATTATTAATTTAAATTATGATG